AGGGGTGTCAGTCTTCGGACTGCACCCCAGTGCACTGGTATGTATGTCAATAAACTGGCCTCAGGCTTGAGTCTGTAAACTAAAATCAATGCGTGGATGTCTTGGACCACGACATGTATGATTGTTTGTCAAACACTTTGAGCTCTTGGTCTGGGAGGGGCTACCAAAGCACACAGCAGGATTATCCTTCTCCGGTTCGCCCAGCGTACTCAGATCTAGGTTTCTGACACGCAGGCTTGTTTTCCAGCGGAGGCCTGCAGCACCACTGAGGATGGGGATGAGCCTCTGCATTGCCCTACAGGATATGAATGCCACATCATCAATCCTGGCAACACAGCCGAAGGAATCCCCAACAGGGGTCAGTGCATCAAGCTACGTGGAAATCCCGGTCAGTGCATTCAAAAACATCCGTCCTCGCTTGCTCTATCCAACTTAGGGGCTATGCTGAGAGGTCTGTCACCTGCCCTGAGGCAGATAACAGCTCAAAATGTCAGGTCAAGCTAAGTAGAGTTCCTGGGTTTTCACCTCCTCCCTCTTTCAATCCCGGGTTTCTTCAGCGATGTATCTGATCTTTCCACCATGGCTCCATCACACTTCCATATGACAAAGGAAATGTTCCTGCTGCATTGAGTGAACATCATCCCCCCTTGCAGCCTCTCCATTCCCTGCTCTCTCAGTCGAGTGGATGCTTTAGAACCCAAGTCTCACATGCACATGGTGCTGGCAACCAAGTCGTTGCTCTGGCCTTAAAAGAAAATGCCATAAGACCAAATATGCGAGCTACATTCAGGGGGGTGAGGGAGTGGGGGAGTTCAGCGTGAGATGAACACCCTGTATAAACGTGGGGGGCTAACATCTGGGCCTAATTATACATTAGCCACCCCACAGAGAGAACAGTAGGTTGCCATGATGTAACTGGGGGGCAGACGCTGGAGCATATGTTTTTGTGACTAGTCTTTACTGTGTGTTCTTTTGATCATACTAGTATGATACTCAAGGATAAGGCACCATGAGGATGCAGGACAGGAAACCATTTAATTGGAGGAACCACTGAACAGTTAAAAGCTGTCTATGTGAAACGCCTTAAATTACAATTAAACTGCTGCCTTTGAAAATCAATACAAATTGCTCATGTTCATGGTCTTTCAGGGTTTCTGGAAAGGTGCTGACTGACCTCAATCCCCATGGAAGCCAAAGGGAGTTGAGTGTTCAGCATCATTCAGGATCAGCCCCTAAATAAATCCTAGCAGCAATTCACTTTTCTCCATGTTTGCAGGACATGACATTCTGGACTGTAAGCCAAATTCTCAGCATAGCTCCACTGCAGGGCTGGCTTCAGGCACCAGCTAAAGAAGCAGGTGCTTGGGGCGGCCAATACCAAGGGGCGGCACCTCTGGGTCTTCGGTGGCGGGTCCCTCAGTCCCTCTCGGAGTGAAGGAGCTGCCGCCGAATTGCCGCCGAAGAGTGGAGCAGCACAATCGTGCTGCCGTGGCTTTTTTTTTTTGTCGCTTGGGGCAGCAGAAAACCTGGAGCTGGTCCTGCTCCACTGAACTCTTTAATTTACTTGACATCAATAGAGCTAGGGCAATTGACAAGCTGAGGAATAGGCCCTGTAAATGTATTTTATCAATGTCTGTGCGTTTGCATTTTGGCTGGGACAGGAAAGCATTGCTTCCCCTCTACAGACAATAGTAAACCTCAGCTCCTTCTATTTAAATATCAAACAGTAAAGTTCTTAAACGACAGTAGAAAAATCAAGATGGAAATTGTTTTCTGTCATCTGACCATAGTTTCTGTTTGTTGTCTGAGTCACAAAGATCATCTCTTTTTTTCCCTCCACTGGACTGTTTGCCAATAAGGGAGCTCACACATGCCGATGTGTTTTCTGAGACTGTTTTCAACCTGTACAAGAGTGTGCAGCTTCTGTGAAAGATTAATAGACTATATACTCTGTTGCAACTCATCACAGGCCAAAAACATCAGCAGCCCCTTTTCCTACTTAACCACAATAAAATCCAGTAGAAGTATCAAACCAGAGCCCTCTTTTGTTGTTGTTTTTTTCTGGTAATAAAGACTAAAGGCTTAAGAATTTCAACTTCCTTTGCCTTTCTTGTGTCTTTTGGGTTTTTTTTTTAATGTCCTCTAGTCCAGTTCTTCTCAAAGCCGGTCCGCCACTTGTTCAGGGAAAGCCCCTGGCGGGCCGGGCCGGCTTGTTTACCTGCCGCATCTGCAGGTTTGGCCGATCTCGGCTCCCACTGGCCGCGGTTCGCTGCTCCAGGCCAATGGAGGCTGAGGGAAGCGGTGCGGGCCGAGGGACATACTGGCCGCGGCTTCCCACAGCCCCCATTGGCCTGGAGCGGGGAACTGCGGCCAGTGGGAGCCGTGATCAGCCGAATCTGCGGACGCGGCAGGTAAACAAACCGGCCTGGACCACCAGTGGCTTTCCCTGAACAAGTGGTGGATCGACTTTGAGAAGCACTGCTCGAGTCACTAATGTAATGATACGTACCTGTGTTTATGGTGTTCGTGCATTAGATGTCTCTTTGAGCTGTAAAAGTTTCAGACACAGTATGGTCCCTGGTAAACAAAGGAGATGAAGCTGGAACTGAACTGTGCAGAAGCCTGTTAGATTGTCTCAAATTCTAGCTGTTTTCTTTAATAAATGCTTTCTGTGTAAGAAAGACTGGTTCCTTAGATCATGACTACTTTTAATGGTCAGAGTATTTAGGAGGAGGATGTAACTGCATGGATCCACTGGTCGAAATGTACTGGTAGGAGCTGCATAGCAGCCTACGGATACCCAGACAACACAGGTGCAGCCATGGGAAGGCGAGATGCATGCTCTGTTCCCTACCCAAATGTTGAGGGTAGGAATCTTGGTCCCCCTAGTTCCCTGTGGAGTTTTCAGGCTATGCAGAGGGGCCAGGATTTAATCCAAAGGAAGCAGTTAAGAGCGAAGCCTGGTTGGATACGTTATCATAACTAGGCTTGGACAGATTCAATTTTTATCAGTAAATGTCCATTTCACCATACACCCAAAAACTGATGAAAAATACTTCCATCAATCATATTCTAAATTTATAGATCGGCGAAGTAAAAAAGTGCTGCTTGTGAACTTATCAGAGTTTGCTTTAAAGATATTTACCTTATATATTTTGATATGCGATGTTGACACTTTGTGTTAATGGTTATCAAGCTTTATCTTTTTCAACTCCTACTGTCATTAATAATTATTGTCTGACCCCCCACACACACCCCAGCTTCCAGCGACTGTGAAAATTTAAATTGATGAAAATAGCCCACAAAATTGCTTACAAACCATAATTTTGCACAACTGTAAAAATTTTAAAATCAATACAAATAGAGAAAAATGCTTAAAAATAAACATGGATCTCATCTGTCGAAATTATTTTAAAAAATCCAATTCTGCCAAGCCTGATCATAATGTATCTTCTTGTTTTGCAGATGGACGCAATCTAAGGCATAAATATTACAAGGAATATTTTGGTAAGACACCATCTGTGGGTCTTTGGTATTGCTGGGCTTTACACTGGTCCAATTGGTTACGAGGAATTTGCTGCTTATGAAATGGCATAGTGGGGAGACGTTCCTCAGAAGCTTTTCAGCACACCTTTGCCAGTGCATCTCAGGGCAGACATGTGAGGCCCCTACCACAAGGTCCTCCAGAGCTGAGACTGCCAACAGTGTTGCAATGTATGGTGGGTTTATGATCTGGAAGTCACGTCTGGAATGGGAAACACCCAATCAAATTCATTTTAACTTGTGATTTAATCAGGAAAGGAATCCTGTTCTTGAAAGGCGAAAAGCTAGGAAAAGCTACCCACTACTTTGCACCTTTTTTTTTTTTCCTTGCTGGTTTTCCAAACCTTAGGGTGCATCCACACTACCCGCCGGATCGGCAGGTAGCGATCAATCTATTGGGGATTGATTTATCATGTCTCGTCTAGACGTGATAAATTGATCCCCGAACGTGCTCCCCGTCGACTCCGGAATTCCACCAGGGCGAGAGGCGGAAGCGGAGTCGACGGGGGAGCCGCAGCTGTCGATCCCGCGCCGTGAGGACAGGAGGTAAGTTGATCTAAGATACGTCGACTTCAGCTATGCTATTCTCGTAGCTGAAGTTGTGTATCTTAGATCGATCCCCCCTCCCCCCAGTGTAGACCAGGCCTTAGTTAGATCATGATAACTCTCAGATCTAGAATGGAATGGTCAATCTCCCCTCGCTTAGTCCTATGCAACCTAATTGATGTGTTGGGAGTAATTAAAGGCAGAATTTGGGGACTTCACTGGTGTAATTTAAACCTACCATTGTTACAACAGCCCCACCAAAGAACTGGAAAATAAGACACAGACCATTTAAAATATACAGCTAGAAATCTTTCTGGAGCGTTCATTACTGAAAGGACATGCCATAAACCCTAATTTGGCAGAGTTTTGTTTTACAGGGAGTAATTCCAATAACGTACTTGGCTACGTGAAACAACAGCAGAAGCACTTAGGTTAACTTGGGTAAGTAGCTTCTGAATAAAGGGATGGATGTGTGAAAATCAAATGCAAATATACCTATCTCATAAAGCTGGAAGGGACCTTGAAAGGTCATTGAGTCCAGTCCAGTCCCCTGCCTTCACAGCAGGACCAAGTACCATCCCTAACAGATTTTTGCCCCAGATCCCTAAATAGCCCCCTCAAGGATTGAGTTCTCAACCCTGGGTTTAGCAGGCCAATGCTCAAACCACTGAGCTATCTCCTCCAAATGTATGACAGTTGCCCAATGTACGGTGATCTAAGACAGTCTTTTACGGGTGAAATTACCCCTCTCTGGCATCAGGCATATTGTCCACCTAGGTGTCCTTGAAGCCCTAATGGTGCTGAGACCATCAGAATGGCCATACTGGGTCAGACCAATGGTTCATCTAGCCTAGTATCCTGTCTTCTGACAGTGGCCAGTGCCAGATGCTTCAAAGAGAATGAACAGATTATACTGGCCCTCTGCACAGGTTGAAATTCACTATAGGGGTCTGTCTACACTACACTGTAAGCCCATGCTCAGTCTCAGCTTTGAACCCCAACCCCCCTTCCATCCACACACAGAATCAGTCTGACTCAGGTCAGGACCCCCACTGGATCAGGCCTGTGGACCCTGCTCGAGGGGTGGGTCAGAGCCTGAGTCCTGCTGAGGCTTGAGTCCAAACCCTGTCATTTTGCAGTGTGGATGCAGCTCAAGCCACAGACTCCAGTCAGAAGAGCTGTATATTGCAGTGTGGCCACGTTAGCATGACTGTGAGACCTGGATCCAGCAATTGTAAACCCAGGTTTACGATGCAGTGTGGATGCTCAAGCACAGGCTTGGAAACATCAAGTCCACAAGCGCAGGTCCCACAGCCCCGGAGTTACAATGCCATGTAGACGTACCCTAAGTGAATTTAGTTGAAAGGCATATGCTGACAAACAGGAAATGGTATTCACCATCCCAAGGCTGGTCTGTGCTGCAGGAAGAACTCTGCAAAATATTCATGGTGAAATTCATCTCTTCAGGTTCCTTTTCATTTGGTTTTGATTTCTCAATATTTGTCCGGCTTCCTGAAAAAAATTTGACATTTGGTGGGTTTTCTTTTCTCGTGTAGAATAGGACCATGCAGCGGAATTTGGGGATTCTCAAACATTTCAAAACAGCAGTTAGCCAAAGATTAACGTTAATGTCCATGCAATGTATACAATTCTTTTTATAGTAAATGCCCAAATGTTTTATACTGCACGTCTAAGGGCCCAAGCCTAAGGCAGCCACGTCTGATCCTGAATGAGAAAACGCAGAGACCGGTAGTTTAGAAGGAGACTACAGTGGAACCCAATCTTGCAAACACTTAGGCATGGGAATATCTTTATAGTAGTACTACTGAGCACCATGGATTCTTCACATGAATACGCTTACTCACACAGGGCCTGATCCAAAGCCCACTGAAATCAGTGGAAAGACCTCCAGTGACTTCAGTAGGTTTTGGGGTCAGGCTCATATGTAAGAATTTGCATCATCAGACAATCTGTCCCAAACCAGAGGTGCCTTTATCTTTCAGAATCAGATGCAGCTGCTTTAAAACAACAGGGACAAAATGAATCAGTTAACTTTTCATTAGGCCTAAGTGAGGCCAATTGCTGAGGTTACATGGTTGGGTAAGAATGTGTTCTATGCAAACACCACAGCGATGATAAACATTTACATTCCGGGGGTTTTTTATTTGATTTTCATGCAGTGGGACCTAACTCTTAAGGAGCTTTTAAAGAAAGAAATACCCGGTAGTTGTCTGGCTCAGACGAATTGCAGCCCTCGGTCTCCAGATACAGCTATTCAGCATCTTCCTGATCTCTGCAAGTTGTTGATTAAAGACCTGCCTGGTGCAAGAGCAGCTATTCTAGAACTCAGCCCTGTGAAGAGGGGGAGAAATCCATTCCTTTGACGGCAGCTGTAGTGTTTGAGCAGCACCTTTACAACTGGAACAGATGACCAGTCTCATCCACAATTTCATTTCAGATCTGTATCAGCACAGTACACACTATAATGCACATTAGGGGACTGAGTCTGATTTCGCTTACGTAGGAGTAACTCAGGAGTGACACTGGTATAAAAATAGAGGGTCCTGTGGCACCTTTAAGACTCACAGAAGTATTGGGAGCATAAGCTTTCTGAAGAAGTGAGGGTCTTACCCACAAAAGCTTATGCTCCCAATACTTCTGTGAGTCTTAAAGGTGCCACAGGACCCTCTGTTGCTTTTTACAGATTCAGACTAACACGGCTACCCCTCTGATACTGGTATAAAAATGGTGCACGTGGGTTTAGAATCAGGCCCTAGGTATAAACAGCCTGCTTGATTTTTCTAATATATGTGTGCTGAATACAATCAGTGACTTTCATACTGCACGTACATCAGATTAACAGAACTCAGAGGTCTCTTACCTAAAAGGAAATGAATTGACTGGTAGTTTATGAATAGTGTGAATGACTTTATTATGTTCACTAAAGAAAATGGGACAAATTTGTCTTTGTTGTGTCACCATTGAAATCAGTGGAAGCTACACCAGGGATGAATTTGCCCCAGTGAACAACTATCCTTTTATGATTTAGTCTACAAGGTGATCTATGTATTTAACAACATGAGCCTGGAAATGGTCTACCATGGTGCTCTGTCTGATATTCCCTTAAGTACTACAGTATATGCAAATGTTTATTCTTCCCCTAGAGTTTGGAATCCCTATATGAGAAAGGGGAAGTTAAAAATACTGAGCGTTTCTTTTTTGACCAGCTAAAATTGTCAGGTTTTGAAAAATTTCATTCCAGTGTTAGACTCAGAGACTGAGGCCAGAAGGGACCATCATGATCATCTAGTCTGACCTCCTGCACATCGCAGGGCCACAGAACCCCACCCACTCCTGAAATAGACCCTTAACCTCTGGCTGAGTTACTGAAGTCCTCAAATCATCGTTTAAAGACTTCAAGTTACAGAGAATCTACCATTTACTCTAGTTTAAGCCAGCAAGTGACCCGTGCCCCACACGGTAGTGGAAGGAGAAAAAAAACAACCAGGGTCTCTGCCAATGAAATTCCTTCCTGACCCCCCTTCCCCCCAAAAACCCAGTGAAAAATGTGTACAAAACATTTTACTATTTTTAAATCAGCTCTAGAGCTCAGTGCCCTCAACTCCTATTTGTTTCAGTCAATGTTATGTGTTTTAAGGACCTTGCAGGATCAAACACCTAGACTCCGGTCTCATGCTTAACCCCAGGAGGGCATTTTGCTTTGCAATGCTAGTTAAACTCATGGCTGAGTACTTTGCTGGATAGGAGCTGTAGAGCAGGAATTTAATCATTGCAAAATGAATCTAAAAAAAAAAAGATGGCAGACTGATAAAATAAAGTACTGCTGAACGTTTGCTGTTTACTACATGCTGTAGAAAATCCAGCTTACCTAATGGTGCTAGGGTATTAATTTTTCTTTTCAAGTTCTTTTAAATTGTCAAACTTAGAAAAAAATCAGCCGGCGCGGAGATCTGAAGGCAAGGTTTCCAATATTAACATTCATACTGCTTTTGACGACACCATATCTCGCAAGACAAATTTTCCTGAGTTCTTACTGCTGCCCAGAAAACAAATGGTTTTAAGGCAACACTGTAAAAGCTCAATGGGAAATGGGTAAGGTTAGCTTTTAAATGTGTGTGTTTGGTATCATTTTAAGGCTTGTCTGGTGCTACAATAAACATTTCATGTTACGTTACATGCTCACAGTGCTCATGAGCTACCAGAGTCTCAGCTGGTGTCAGTCGGTGCCTTCAATGGAGTCGCTCTGACCTCCACTACGGGAGAATCTGGCCCAATGACTCATTCAATACTATCACTCCTGTTTTGTGCTGCTTGTGATTAGAAACGTAGGTTCTCCTACTTTGGTGCTCAATAAAAACAAATCCAGTATATTTTTCAACTCTGTCTAGTTTCAGGTGTGTGTTTTTAACACTGATCCCGCTCTTCTTTCAATTAAAAGAAAGTAAATGTCACGATGAATTTGAGTTCTTGTGAAAGCTGCCAGAGCAAAAGCCTGGATAACCAAAGTGCTTCATTTATCTGTAGGACAGTATAGCTGGCAGCAGCCTGAGCTTTCCTTAACCGTTGCCCTCCTCACCACTGTACCATGACCACCTGGAGGAGGCAGGGGTGCTGGAACAATTTGAGAGCCATTGAAGCAAACTGTAAACCCTGTATATGCTGGACACCTCTTCAAGGCAGGGTGTGTGGCAGCACCCATAGTTCCAGCATCTATGCCTGCAGGGGCCGGAAGGTTGAGGTGCCAAGGCCCAGTCAGTCCTTGGCTTTTCTGCTGCAAGTGCCCACCAATTATCAGGGTGGATTATTGCAATGTTGCCAGCCAGGGCCAACTTTAGGCCGATTCCCCTGAATGGGGCCCCGCGCCTAGAGGGCCCTGCGCAGCTGTCCACCCCACCCCCAGCCACTTCCCCCTCCTCCCCTGAACGCTCCGCCCCCCTTCTCCTCCTCCTCCCCTGCTTCCCGCAAATCAGATGTTCGCGGGAAGCCTGAAACAAGCAGCAGGCAGGAGGTAAGCTGGGGCGGGGAGGGACTCGAGGAGGGTTCCAGGGAGGCGTGGCGTGGCCCAGTCCGGCCCTGGCCGAGCACACGGCTCCCTCTGTCCTGGCCCCCCGACCCCGGCCTGGCCCCGGCCAAATGCCCCCAGCCCCAGCCTGGTCCCGGCCAAGCAGCTCCAGCCCGGCTTAGCTTGGGCCCCGCAGCTCCGGCCCGGCCCTGGACCCAGCCCCAGCTGAGCAGCTACAGCCCTGGACCCGGACCCTGCCCAGACTGAGCGGACCCGGACCCGGCCGAGTGGCTCCAGCCCGGCCCCGGCCCTGGCCGAGCGGCTCCAGGCAGCGCGGTAAGAGGGCAGAGAGGGGGTGTTGGAAGAGGGCAGGGAAGTTCGGGGGGGTTGTGGGGGGGTGGATAGGGGTCAGGGCGGTCAGAGGGCAGGGAACAGGGGGATTGAATGGGGGCAAGGGTCCTGGGGGGGCAGTCAGGAAGGAGCAGGGGTTGGATTGGGCGGTGGGGGGCAGTCAGGCAGGGGTTCCAGGGGCAGTCGGGGACAGAGAGAAGGGGTGGTTGGATGGGGCAGGGGTCCATCAGGAATGAGAGGAGGGGTTGGATGGGGCGGCAGGGGGCAGTCAGGAGACAGGGAAGGGAGGTGGATGGGGCAGGAGTCTGGGGGGGGGGCATCAAGAACTTTAGGGTTAGCATGCATCCGCATACATTACGCAATGTATGTAAAATATATAATTTTGTTATTATTTATATAGTTATGGAAAGTAATTAATACATGAAAGAAATGAAAGGTGGTTTTTTACTTGTGTTTTTTTTTTGTCAAGTCATCCCTCTCGGGGCCCCGCCGAAAATGTTCGAATTGGGCTCTGCACTTCCTAAAGCCAGCCCTGTTGCCAGCTGCCTGCTGGGAACTGACTCCACCCAGCTCGTTTCACTTACCTCACCAGCCACCGGCTCGGAAATGTTTGATCACTGCTGATGGGCTTGAACTACGAGAGGCTTCCCATCCCATTAGAGATGCCCTACTCTGCATCAGAGTGAACAAGAATGTTTCAGGAGAGTAAGGGCTAAATTATACCTTCCCCTACGTGACTGAGCTAAAGAAGGGGGAAGGGGCACAGAATCTCCATCCCAGCGCAGCCACCCAGACACCAGCTCTCAGCACTGGCTGGTCTCAGCTCAGTGTGGAGTGGGGGGCTGGATGCTGCTAACCAAGGTGTTTCTAGATGCCAGCAGAGCCATGACCCCATTCCCCCCGCTCCTCCACCCACACTCTGGATGGGTGCACTGTATTTGCTGCTCCTGCTGTACAGGTATAGCAAGGGGTGCACCTCCCCTCACATCTCCATAAGTATAAATGTAGTAGGAGCAATGAACCATCAGTTTACCCCCGAGGAGAGAGAGAATAGTTTTTAAATTGTGTTTGGGGAAGGGTTCAATGGCGTTGGGGGTCGGATGAGATCAGGTGGGAATAGGATCAGGGCAGGTGTTTGAGGTAGAGCTAGTGCTAGTCCTGAAATATTCTGCTTTTAGCGTGGCCCAGCAGAGCAAGAAAGTCTGGTTTGGCTGTTTAGCTGGGGAGCCTCTGTCAATCCAACTGGTTGGATCTAGCTAATGTATATTGATTGTATAATCATCTCACACCCACACTGAGCACTCAGGTTACATTCTTCTGAGTGGGCTATGTCAACTTCCTGTTTATTTTGTGACTTTTCCAGCTCACACAAACACAAGAGGCACAGTGAGGTCCAAAGGCTCCAGGCACACACTTCCCTGAGGTCAGAGAGAGGATTTGTGTAGCAGGCTTGGCTTCGGAAGGCTCACTGACAATTGGCAAAGCAATTTTCATTTTAATGGGTGCTGTTTCTCTTACGGCAGAACAGATCTCACTGTGAGGCTCACAGCACAGAAGCATAGAAATGTAGGACTGGAAGGGACATATCTAGGTTTTTGGTTTCTGCTGGTGGCGCACATCTGCACATTACCTCAATAGTGGTACACATAAAATTCCTTCTGCACATGGATGGGAAAAATTAGAGCGGGGGCTGTCAAAGGTGCAGTTAACCCTGAAACTGTGACACTATAGTGGCAGCGGGTGTGGGGTCTATGACGGTGTGAATTGCTGTAAGTGCCAACAGCAGGGAACACAAGTACTGTAGAAGGAAAAAGCATCACAGAGAAAAAAATAATAAGAACAATGCATAGATTTAACTGCACACTAAACATACCAGGAGTCATGCATCAGTTTCTGGGGCCCTGGTGAGGCCTTCTGCGAGCACCGGGGCTCCCCTTGGACAGAAGAGCCTGTGTTTGGTGGATCAGAAAGAATCCCCATGCCAGTTCAAGCTCAGCTTTTTATACCAAAAGTCCTTTCCTCAGGGGGTGGTGCTTTGCGGCAGTTACCCCCAGGGGTAATCACCCGTTTTTAGTTCCTGAAGGAGCGGTGGTAACCATCCCCCATGGAATAAAACACTCTTTTACATAAACCATTCATAAATGCAATACAGTGGTCCCCAAAGCTGCTGCATAGGGTTGCAATATCTGTCGCACTAGCCCTACACGATACCCCCAGACACACAAACTTTGAGTTCTCTGCTCTGCCCAGGACCTGATTCAATGCGGCCTATCGCTCACTAGACGAGATCTTCACTTTGAAGTCTTGTGTAGATGCCTTTTCATGCTGAGGGCAGGATTTGGCCTATGGCAGAAGCTGGTTGCCAAGACTAAATAAAGCCGTGAGTCATCCGGTCTGGAAATAGTGACGAGACATTTTTGCAAGCATAGCATTAGACTCTCTTAATAGTAACGTGTCATTGCTATGAGTCACGTATACATTATCCTCATTAACACAGTATGCAGAGAAGCCTCCTTAGCGTGCCGTGGAGCCAGATGTTAGCCTTCACCACTCAATTTGCTCTCTTTGACAGAGGGTGCAATTGTGTATTACACGATTCCCTGCTCCCTGTCACCTTATGTAACTACAGACTATTTGCCTTAATAGTAACCAGCTTTGCTTTAGATCACTGGCAATAGGGTGGCATCTTACTTTCCCCTGATGTGCCATTTTGCATTCCTGTAGCCTAGAAAGATGTTAATTTATAATGGTTCTGCCTTCTGTGTGCTTTGGAGAAAAAGATTCCTGCCTCTTTAAAATATTAGCATTCCTAGAGTTATTTTACTTAAAAAAAACCCAGGCACGATATATAATAATAATCATATAATATAATAAGGATCTGAGTAGCTATGCTAGGGTTACCATCCGTCCGTATTTCCCCGGACATGTCCGGCTTTTGT